AAAACACCGAATCTTTCATATTCCGAACAAATAACCAAGCACATAGTGGAACGTTATAAGAACATTTTAGAAAACCAAGAGGACAAGAGTAGATTTGATAAAATACGAGAGGAATTAGAATCCGAGGAAAATCAAACGAGTATTCAAAATATAATTCGTAATGTTAGATTGAATCTGGTTGAGGAACCATCGGAAGAAATTAAAAAAGCACAGGAAGACAAAATGGATGAAAGACGAAGACAACAGTTTGAAGAGAGAAAACGAGCAGAAATCGAAAGAAGAAAAAACGCAGGAAAAGAAAAGAAAGAGCCAATCAACAAAATTGAGTACAAAGTTGTTGAACGAGGTTGAATAAATCTCGAGATTCATACTGGCCTAACAATTCCAATAATACACAATTTTCACAATTAACTGACCTGCACCTAATATAATTCAGCCATGCTTTATTTTGATGTTGGACTTCTTCTGGATGGCAACAATGCATTATTGAACTGTATTGGATTTCTTGGCGATGTTGGACGAGATCTTTTCAGAGGGGTATACAATAGCTTGTGTGCCTCGTTCCTGTTAAAAAGAAATCCTGAGGACTTCCCAGTGTCACCATTATTAATGTTGTTGACATTCTTGTTTGTACTTCCAAGAGCAAACAGAGGAGATCCTAATTTGAATACCCATAAGAATGAAGAAGATTCATTTCAGTTCAACTGAAACAAAAACACAAATAACTTACGGTGGTCGTTGTTGGTATTATTGAGGCCTGCATTGCTCGAGCTTTTAAGGAGCGCAGCAACTCCGCTTGTCGAAGAATTTTGAGCGAGTGCATTATTGGGCGAGGTCTTTGAGACTCTAAAATCTAACAGTCCACTTGTGGCCGATGAGCGTATCGGTTGATTCTTGTTGAACAAGAGGTTACTGTTTCCAGGACTAATATTTTCCTGATTTTCTTTGTAGGTGGATGACGGAGAAACAATAGTATGGCTTTCCAACTCGCTGCTAAGACTTGGTGAAGTGGATCTCATTCCTCCACTCTGTTCGTATTTTCTTTTGAGGGAATTGTACAATTCTTGAAGCTTATTTCTCTCTCTAACTTTTTCTGAGTATTTCTCTTGAATGTTCTGAAATTCTCTTTTAGTCAATTCATATTGTTCCTCAGTGACTTGAAGCCTCTCGGAAACGGATTGGAGTTTTTGTTTGGTGTCGTTCAGCTTTTCAACGTATGATCTTTTGTTGATACAGGTTAATGGCCGTAACGATTCATAACAAATGATAAATGATTGCAAGAAACACGTTATTCAACGTTATGAGTAGAATAATACTACATGCAATTCAAATACGTACTTTTCCATTTGGGATGCTTTGCTGAGGGTATCTTTATGAAGAAATTCCTGATATTTGATTTCAACTTGTCTCTGATTGTCCCAGAACTTGAAAGCATTGTGAGCAGCCTCAAGAATTACGTCCGGTGGAAGACCGCACAAACACATCTATGTGTTGTTGTTGAAGAGAGCAAAAGAGAGAATCAAAATCTGAGAACCTTCATCAAAAACAACTCACCGTTTTCTCCTCCACTTGAGCCTTACTCAACTCAACTTGCCTTATATCCCGAGAAGAGAGAGGCTTTTCGCATGCAGGGCAAGACATATCCTTTGAAAAGTGTTTAATTGCATCATCCTTGCCTTTGGCATCAGGTTATTGATGAATTTGTTGCCTCCTCAATAAGAACTTACAAAACACGTGATTACAACTTGTAATGAAATACAATTCCTCCACTTGTCGCCAGCAAGAATTGCATTTCATTTTTTTTCATAAGGTCGTTAAAAACGGGTAAAGTTTTTTAAAAAGGACATGATGATCATGGAGAGATGAAAGGAATTCATCATCATTACACCTTTCTGTTGTTGTTTTTCAATGATTCCCTTTCAATGTTTCTCTTTCACCTTTTCTTTCACCCGCGACACTTTGAACCCAAAAAAACACTCAAAAAATTTTTTTCAGAACCATAACACCTTTAATGTTGCGTCTGTCATTCGTTTCGTGCTGCATTCTTCTCTGGTGACTTTCTCGGTAGCACAGATCAGTGTCATCCAATAGAAACAAACATACGGGGAGAGCCTTTGCGAAGGCTTCTCTCGCTCTCACACGAGCACAAGTTTCTGGGAAAGTCTCTGGATACACCATGCAGGTCATGGACAGGTAGAAAGTACCGCCTCGAAAGAGGGCACGCCAAGGGTCATCGACCCGGACTTTGGTCTCACTGGCTTCTATCTTCACTACAAAGGCATGAAAACACAATGTCACTGGCATTGAACCAAATAGAGCTTACTGATCCGTGTTACTTTTTGGCTGTGAAAATGTTCTCGTTGGTGGAGGAAGTGGCTGGAGCCTGAGCACTGTACAGTGCTGAATGTACTGCTTCATCGTAATGGTGATGATGATTATAGGCACGAGCAGTATTGTTGTATTCGAGTACATGCTCCCAGAATTTCTCCATATTTGCTTTCTGTTCCTCGGGTCTTTCACTTGAGAAATAACATCGACATTTAAGATTTCTCATGTCTTGAGATTGGAGCAATTCTTGGTCCAAGGTCATGTCTTGATCGTCACCAAAGACACAACAGCATTTCTTGGATCCCAATCCAGAAAAGTGAAGAATAGGCGTTTGTTGAAATTCCTGACGATCCATTCTCTCTACGAAAAGAACCACACTATCCGTATAGTTCAGAACTTGTTGAATAAATCTTGTGAAAATTCCATTTTCTCCTGTGATTAAAATTCTTCCAGAAAGTTCTACACATAAAACCACAATGTCACCTTTCTGGATGGGAGGTGTGAGGTGGTCCAGTGATGATGACTGAGTGGTCTTGTTGGAAGCACTTGCTTTCAAATTGGAAGTGTTCAGTAATACACGACTACTCGAAGACTCTTTGTTTTGGGTGGAACTGCTCTCTTCGAGTTTTTTATCATCCTCTTCGGAGTCATTCTTAACGAGAACAATGGCATTCTCAGAAAAATCATCATCGCTCAAAGCGCCACTATCATCTTGTGCTTTAGTGTGGGGAGGCATGTGTGGAGAGTCTGTATCAGAGTTATCACTATTGTCGTGTGCATGGATGTCAAAGATACTCTTCTCATTTACTGGCATGTTCACACTATGAGATGTCTCTATGGATGTCCTAATTGTGGGTTTTAGGAGTTTAAGACGTTCTTTCCGTCTTTTAAGATGTGCATGATGCAAATAATAATAATCATTGAAATTGATGTCATTTCCAAACAATTCTGTTGCAAGTTCAAAAGTAATACTTACGCAAGTGACTGCAAAGCTCCATAACTATGAGACTTTTTCATTGTGGCAGATGTATTGTCTGTACTACGTCTTCTCTTCAGAGTTGCATTTAAGCTCCATAGGTCTGTAATAGTTCTCTTCACTAGGACATATTGACTCATGGATTGTATGTTCTTCTCTGGAATTAAGTCTTTTCCATTCATAAATTGTTCTCTACTTCTCACACAAACCAGAATGTTCGTTTGTTTTGAATGTTTCTTCTTTTCCTTCGACTTGGCAAAATACCTTGTATTATAGAGACTGTTAACCGCTGCGGAAACAGTTTCTCTTTCATTATCCAGACCGAAAAACCAAACGTTTCTTTTTTGTTCATAATCTTGTAAATCCTTAATTTCAATTTTAACCTCTGAATTGGAAAAAAGTTTCATGACAGAATTAATAGAGGTGGAGGACTCGAGTTTTGTGTGATGTGCCGTCACTCGTTCTAGTGCGACATCAATGACCTCTCGGAAAAATTGAGAGAGAATAAGTTCTGTGGAGTCTGTTTGTGATTTTAGTCATGATTGCCTTGTGTTGCACAATATATGGTTTTGAGTTGGTGTAAAGGTTGGAAATTTCAATTTCTGCATTTTCCTTCCTTTTAATGGCGTCATAAATGTCGGTGCATTTATCGAGGCCATGAAGGACATAGAGAGTGGGAAAGCCTTCCAAAAGCCTCAGTTTGTTTTTAAAATCTTTGCTCATTTTGTTTCCTACTGTTGATAATACAATAACTCCGTCAATGTGGCAAAGAGGTCGCTTTGTTTGCTTAGTTTGTTCGTCTTCGTCAGTGTTGAAAAAGTCCTCAGTATCAGTACTATCCTCGTTAAATTTGTACATGACAAATGATCTACTGAACGACTCATCACTCCTAGATAAAACATATCTGTTCTCTTTGGCTTCCTTGCCATTATTAAATCCTATTAACTTTACACAAGATTTGAACCACTTGAGCACGTCACGTTTTTGGCTGTCAGTATGGGTTACAATCGTTTTGGAGCCGATTAAAAATTTCATAAGATATTCCACTAAATCCTCGCCCAAATCACTGGGTTGTTCAATTTCAGACTCGTCCAACAATAGTAAAATATTAAGTCTTTCGTATAACTTTTTCATAAATAAAAAGAAAAATAAAATACTCTCTCGTAGAGTATTGTTAGCTTCGTCCTCGTACATTTGTAAACCATGAAATTGGAGTGCATTTCTTGAAGATCCTTCACTCACTTTCTTTTTTGATCCTTTCTTAATGCAAATTTCTCTAATTTCATCGAAGTAGATATTGTTAGATAATTTTATCTGCTCGGCAGATGCATTTTCACATGGTCGATAATTTGGAAAAAATCTGTATGTGATTGGCTCAAGAGTAAAAGTTGTATAGTCACTAAAGAGAAACAATGACTTGGTTACAGTTGCGGCCAAAATTACGTCCTTATTATGAAAGTGTTCAATGTAATAGGCCTTGCAATGAAATGGTAGTTTTTTCTTGGTAGTTGTCTTTTTATCGGTAGATGTGATGGTCTCTTTCTTTTGTTCTGAAGTTGGTTGGTCGTCGTACTCTTCCATCACTTCAACTGATGTCTGGGTTCGAGGTATGTAGTTCATAATTGAATTTTTAGTATTTCCAAAATATCTCGAAAAAAGAGAGTCACTTTTCGAAGATTCTTCATGTTTTGAATTTGGTGAGGTTGATAAATTTGTGTGGCTGCTGCGAGTTGATTCAGAATCATGTAAACCAACTAATAAAATGAAATAATCAGAATAAGTATGAAATGGAAATCGCCCTAAACAAAATGTGTTTGGTTCAAGTCTAAACCGGATAATATTATTCCAGTCCGACAGGCCTTCATTTGTCAAATCTATTGCATGACAAGAGGAAAAGAAAAAATGTTTGTGGCTTTTTAAACGTGCTGAGGAAGATGAAGCTGTTTTTTCTTGATTGTAAAAGTAATAAGCAGGAGGGTACTCATACAAAGGATTACTCTTACTTGGCAAAATTGTTGGCTTGTTCTCTTTTTTCCAATGAATATGCAATCCTTTGACACCCCAATAAATTGGCTTGTCTGTTCTATTTTCCATACAGAAAATTCCCCATTCTCGTTCTTTTTGATCAGAAGATGTCACAGATGAGGAAGAAGTTGTTACCTTTTGGAATGATGGTGGCTGAATATTATGATTTGTCGAGCCAAACATTGATGATAAAAATCGGCCTGATCCGTGTGTTTGTTGTTGTATTGATTGCTGAGATTGTGCATTCGGTTTTAAATCTGAAACATTTGATAAAGCTGATGATTCCAAACCCTCGACTGATAAGCTTTTGACGTGATATTGATATTTCAACGAACCAACAGTTGTTGCTGAATTTACTCGATTGTTCATGTCTGATTCAAAAACTGGCTCTTTCGTTTGATGAGAGGTCATTTGCTCTTCTTCTGACTGTTGGTCGTTGATTTCCGCAAACGTGTTATTCGTACTCATGTTGTTGAATAATAATACGACTATTAAAAGTATTTGTTCGGGATTTGTAATTCGGGATTGTGGCAAAACAATTAGACAATATAATCCCTATCAAAATAGGCTATTGCTAAAATCGATGTGTTATTGTTGCTGTTTTTCAACAAAAAAACACACAAGCAGCAGAAGCACACACTGTGTTGAGTGTTTTGTACGACTCGTAGCAATTCTTCCAAATCTCTCTTTTCGGTGAATTTTTTGTGTTTGATAAATTGGGTGATGAGAAGGAAAAGAGGTTTGGAAATTCTGCGAGCATTCATTCTCATGGGAAGTTGTTGATCCACAGAGCACATTGTTGAGAAGCTGCAATACTGATAGAAATCGATTACGTATAATGTTTTAATCGATGGTCCTGCCAAGCTTGGATCTATGGACAGGTTTCCAAAAACAGATAATAACGTAAACACTGGTCAATATAATAAAATGAGCAGATTGTTGAAAGCGGTTGGTGATACCTTGTTCTCTCCTTCGGTGAACAAACCTCTCTACTCGACCCACTATCCAACATCACTCTTTCAGAAATCAGTAATTATTGCTGGCTCTACTTTGATATCAGCTTTCCGACCATTGAGAACCGATATGGTGGGTGCTCTGGGAGAGACCACAGGTGTTCAAGCCTTGGAATATGTGAGGAGTCAAATGGTTCTCTCAAAGCAAGGAAATGAAATTCTCAAAGAACGTCCCAATATTGATGAGAAGGTGAATCCACAATTTTGGGAATATATTTCAACACTTCCACCGGATACCTTTGGAGGAGCCTATTATAAATTTATGAGTAGTAACGGATTTATTGCGAGTGAGAGACCTCCCGTTCGTTTTGTGGATGACGAAGAATTGGCCTACATCATGTTCCGATACAGACAAACGCATGATTATTTCCATGTGTTGGCTGATTTACCTCCATCGGTCTATGCCGAAATTATTGTCAAATGGATTGAGTTCTTCCAAACTAGATTACCCATGACGTTGCTGAGCGGAGCTGCAGCACCATTTACTCAACTCACTTTTGAACAACAGAAGGAATTGGCCACTGTGTTTATTCCTTGGGCTTTTGATACTGGAAGAAATTGCAACTTCCTCATGTCAGTCTATTTTGAAAAGTATTACTTGGATAAGCCTGTGGAACAGGTCCGAAAAGAATTGAATTTTAAGATTGCACCTAGAAGTAATCTTGTGTAATAATAATAATTAACTTGTGCAAATCTCGAGTGTGAAATTCCTTGAAGAAGAGATTATTCACAAACCCATTCAATATTCATTTGGCTATTATCACTAACTGGTTCCTTATTATTGGAATCTTAACACATTGTTATTACCTGATATTAATAGTGCTCAATAACAACAATGCTGCATTTGTCATTTTCACTGATTGATCATTCCAGTCGTCATCATCTTTTCAAGAGCAAAAAAATGTCCACAGCTATCAAGATCTATGTACATGATGAGAGCACACAAACAACCAAAATTTTGCAGTGGCAGACATTAAGTAATCATCAACAACAAATGCAAGCTCTAAAGGCTCGGATTGAACAAGAATTTGAATTGAAAAAACAAGGCAAAGTTTTGGTTGACTTACGGAGTGAAAACAACAGGCCAATTCATTCTCTGAAGGACAAGATGGATATATTCATCGTTGTTGCCACATCATCCGAGGCAGGTAACAGTGATGAAAAAAAGAATTCTAGGCTTGGAGAGGAGAATCAACCTTGTAAAGCCTCCTCTCCACCTTCATCAATAGTCATCACTCCAAACCAAATGACAAAACCTCCACTAGTATCGGAAGGAGGATCAAGCCAAGCACATGATGCTTCAAAAAAAAGCAGCATGGAGAGAGGAACAGCGTTGTTATCCTCCACACCCTCACAATATGAATTACAAGAACTTGCCAAAAACGCAGTTCAGTTCTATCAAGCCAAAAAATACAGAGTATGTAGAATGTGTTCGAATTTCGAGCAAAGTTTCATCATCATTCACTGTGAACTCCACAACAATAGCAATCCGTAGAAGCCTACAAGAAAATCAAACAGGCCAATGTGGATGTCATGGGATGTAACAATAATATTGCCACTGTTTACTTGACTGCCAACATGTATGACAGAGCTTTAAAATATTTGAAAGAAATTCTTAAAACAGATTCCTTAGACTTTACTGTCCACAATAAGATTGCCAAATGTTATTTTGGAAAAAAACAATACAAAGAATGTGTGCAATATTTGCTGAATACAATTAAAGTTATAGACCAAGTACACAAAAGCAGCCAGCGAAGAACAAAAATTAGAACTTAAAAAGATTTCAGCAAGCGCTCAATTGGATCTTGCAAAATGCTTGTTAAATTTACAAGAAAAAGAGCAAGCATTTACATTAATTGCTACTGTGTTAAAGCAAGATGAAAATAATATTGAAGCACTTTTGGAATATGCATCTTATGTTTATAGAGAGTCAAAAGATCCATCTGATGCCCTTACTGCCTTGCTTCGAGTCCTTGTTGTAGATAAAGAAAACAAGATAGCCAAAGAATTACTTTCAGATATTGTCGCTGAGAAAGGCGTGCAGATATTGATTGACCACATTTCTCAAGGAAACAAGTTGACACCTGCCATGGCTCCTGGAGTTGCATGGATGGCTCTTATTGTTAAGGAATTTTCATGTATTACAGAGGCAGTAGAATTGTACAAATTATCGTTAGAACTTGCTCCGGACAATATTTCATATTTATTGAACTTGATTCATACCTTGGAAATTGATGTAAGATATGCAGACGCTTTACGTGAGGTGAAATCATTTTGTGAAAAAAATCCAAATTGTAAAAGTGGCGATTTTACTTCGCACCATTTATTGGAGGTATGTTGTAACGTGTAAGTCAACACACATAATCTTCAATATTGTTCAGCTCTTGAACCAAATTGATCAACTCGATATACTGAAAGATCCATTTCAAAATACGGATCCAATAGCTCAGAAATATTATTGTGGAGAGTATGCTCAACAATATGCAGACACATGGGAAACTACATTTATTGATGATTATGGATCGGTTTTTTGGAAGAAAGAAGAAACATTCAATTTGAAAGAGTTGAAAGATACAATTACAAAACATCGGTTGCATGACAATATCACACAAGCAGATTTAGATTTTTTAGCTGTGGGCTTCACAGTTGTAAAGATTTGCTATATTTGTGGCTTCTTATCATGCCTTCCTAACCTTATTCAAGCTTTGGAGAGGGAACGTATGAAGCGTGAATTACACAATACACAAATTCGAAATGAGCATGCCTATTTTTGCACCATTACTCAATTGCTGTCACAATATTTGTACAAGACTCTTCCTGTGAAGAGAGTGGACAATGTTGAGGAAAATCATATTTATCTTGTGGGAGAGTCGCATTCATTGAGTTCTGCTTTTCAAGTCATTAATTTTAAAGGAACTAGGCAATTGTTATTGACCAAGTTAGTGACAGGATGTAAATGCTTCCATTTGCGAGAAAACACAAAATTTTATCCCAAGAGAAATTATTTCAGTTGTCTGGCATCTATTCCTGAAGGCTCTCGAGTAATTTTTATGTTTGGAGAAATTGATTGTCGAGAAGGACTGTGGGTCTCTGTCGATAGATTTAAGTACAAAAATATTCAGGAAGGTATTGCTGTCATTATTAGTTATTACATTAAGCAATTACTGAAGGCTAAAGAAAAGTACGACCTGTATGTGCATCCAGCACCTCCCGTTCTGGATATGACTCGGGAGACTGTGAAAATGTTTAATGCTCATCTCAAGTCTGAATGTGCAAAACATGGACTGAGATACCTTGACTTTTTGGATGACTTGCTCACTAACAATGGAAAAGATTTGAAAAAAGAATTGTTCCTCGATGGAATCCATTGCTCACCGAATATTACCAAGTATTTGGAGAAGGCATTGAACAAGTTTTAAATGAAAATTCTCAGTGTGTTGAATATTAAACAGCAGCTCGGTTTACTTCAAATGACTTGTTGCCTGTCAGCCTCCAATTCATTGATGAAATATTTGAAAGGAGGTTCGTAAGCTCGCTTCATTTGTTCGAGTAATTCGTCGTTTGGTTTCGTAAGTGTCGAAAAGGAAACCTTAGAATTGTGATCACTACCATAGGAATTGTAATAGTGTGGCTCGCCAGGTCTAGCTCTAATTTCTTGATCTTCATTGAGAGAGCCATTCGTATTGGATGTGATGGATCCTGTCAAGAAAATATTTCGGATGGGTTTGAATATTCGTTGTCGAATGAAATCCTTTGCAGTTGTGTTTTTGGTAAAATAAGTAAACCACACCACCATAATTCCTGTAAATGCAATTCCACTCAGTACTGTGTGTGAAATGAACCAGGCGTTGGCTTTGATTCTAATTCCAAAAAATAAAGTCATGCTTCCGTGATAGATGGCCATAATTGACATCACTAGAGAACACAAAAGCGAAATTAATTTTCTGTGAGATTTAAAATTGTTAGTGAGTACTCCTTGACAAGCTCCCTCTGCAACGTGTCCATAAATATACATAATGACATATCGATCTACCAAATGTTTGAAAAAGAGATAAAGCAAACAGCAGAATAAAATCAATGGAGAAAATAATGAGTTTGTGATGCAAATTGCAAGAATTGAAAGCATGAATGGATACTCATATTCAAAGTAGAAGAGAGAAAGTTCACATGCTTTCAATTTTTGAAGGGGACTACATTTAGGGAGATATCTGGTTCCCCACAAGTAATAAATTAAATTATAAACTCTCAAAATATCTTCACAATTTTTCAAAATGGCTGTTTGAAGGACAAAGTTAAAGAAATAGGATCCAGCACCAGGAAGAAACTTGACATCATAATTATGCATACATGATGACAAAAAAATAATGCACAAAATAACACCTACCATATTGCTGAGCATTTCTGAAATATTTCCTTGTTGTTGCACAAGATTGATAAAGGCATCAAAACTCGTCAAAGAAAGCATTGGCATGATCAAGGTAGAAAGAACCAGATAGATGAATAATCTAGAAATGAGTTTTCTCATGTATCTTGATTTGGACCTAAATTTTGAAAAGTCTTGAGCATACCAGATACCATAAGGAAGGAAAATGGAGAAAAGATGGAGAGCAAGTGTCGGTGTGTATTGGAAAATGACGGATCCAAACTCTCCAGCGCTCTCTGTGTGTTGTATAGATTGTCCAATTAAAAATTGGAACCAATGAATGTTGTCGTTGTTTCATGGATTTTGTGTGTGAATTCGTATAGACTTACCTTTAAACTTGAATAGAGAAATGTGCACAATAGGTATACGTGTCAATGATTCCAATGAGGAGAACAATGCCATAGGTGTGGTCAAGAAAATGAATATTAAAATGACCACAAATTGCATCAAGAAATTTCTCAGCCCATCCCAAAATCCTGTATATGTCAGCATATTTTCCCAGTTGATGTCATTTGGCTCGTAGGCTTGTTTGATCTGGAATGATATGGTTCTAATGGTAGAAATGTTGACTACATCTCCACTCTCATCCAAGTCAGAAATAGTTGAGGCCCTAATTGGCATCTTGATGTCTCCACGCTTATAATAATTATCAATGCATGTTTGGGCATCCTTTGTCGATTCAAAAACTATAAAACCATATTTTAAACATGGAACAATGTCGTGTTCAGCTCCATATTCATCGTTTTTAACCCGATGATAAATTGCATCCCAATGTTGCATGTCAAGTCGCAATTCTCGTTTCCTTTTCCTCAATGTTTCAATTTTTCTGGTTCGGTCACGATAAATGTATCTCCAAAACGTTCTCTTGTGAGCAATGTGAAGATCTTGCAGGAATTCATTATGTTCTAATTGATCACAAATGTCTTGATAATCATTTTGCATTTGAATTCTATCATACACATCTGATAAACTCAGTTGGAGAATCAATTCGATCATGAAAAATTCACCTACCATAAATTAACACTGCTTTCACAACATTTAGGCCAGGACATAACTCCTCTAATTATGAATGAATCATTGTAGGATGATTCAAATATCTCACTTCAGCAAATGATAACATACCTCTGACCATTTTCTCAAATTGAGGTTCGCTGTTAAAATCACTAGGCAAATCCTGAACAAGCACGCTATGTGAGCTAATTACTGCTGTGTGTGATGCCTCATTCTTAGATCCATAGTGTTCAGTTGTAACAATATCATGTCTCGTGAACCTGAATAAAAATAAGCCAAATACGAAGGACACCACAAACGAGAGAAACACGTGAATCAAAAGCAAGAATGGACTGTCCAACACGGTTGATATGGTTGTTCTAAGCAAAGGATAGTCGCTTGGAGCAACATTAAATCCATTAAAATCAAAATTTTTGTTTTCAATATCTGTTTGTTGGGTCAGATGGATGGGAAGTAGTACTATTGCACAAAGAGCGCTAATGATTACCATGGCAGAGATGAATTCTTTTTGAAAGAGTAGGTATACAGCAACATCTCTCGAGTATCGATTCAAGAGGCGTTCCATATCTTCGTGGTTGTGTCTTCTAGAGACAAATGAAAGAAGTACGTCCACGCTAAAATTGACAAATTCCACTAAAAACTCCCATTTTTCTCGACCAAACTCGATCGCGGATGCCTTAAAATGCTCCATTTTGGTTTGGTAAGATTTAGCAAAGGAATTTTTTCTTTGTGGCTTGGATGCAGACTGTGATGGTTTTTCTGCTTGGCTCAAATGCTCTAAGGAAATTCTAGGATTATCCTCAATTACGGGAGATGAGGTTCCAATTAAGTTGTACTCTGAAAGACTGACTGGTGTTGCAATGGTTGTGTTTGTTTTTTCAACATCCTCCTCCATCTCATCATCTTCATTATTTTCATCTTTAAAATCTAGTAGGATTGCAAATTTTGAGTCCTGTTTTTCTCTATTAATAATGGATGATGTTTCCAATAAATCTTCATCAACTGTTGGATAAATATCACCACCTTTATCTTTGTAATTGATATAATTGTTGCGAGATCTGATATTCTCCTTCACGTTTTTTAAAAGGGTTTTCTTTTCTTTCAAATTGAAGAGAGGGAGGCAAGGTCTAAATAATATGAATAATATTAGAAAAACAGCTCCGACACTCAAGTTTGTAACGATAGTAAAGGCGACACCTCCTTGTGGCATATCCACAACAATTGTTCCATTATTTGCTCCATTTGGTTCATCGTTTGGATTCTGATCACTCGTCGAGCTGAGATCCACATAATGCATATGTTTCATCGTTTGGAGTGATGATACTTTCGAATTTGTTTTCACTGTTCCCGATGCCGAATATATTCGGAGAGGCCATGATTGTGTCATTGTTTTGCCATTTATTCCAGGAGCATTGAACATTCTACTATTATCACATGATACGGATTGGTCCATAAACAAAGAACCCTGTACAATTTGATTCAATGGATGGTCCATCATCAAGGTGAATCCACATAAAATTACAATGATCATCCTCATCGTTCCATGAAGCATCTTCTTTCTTGCTTCATTCGTTCGGAAGTGAAGCGAAAAACTCATTTTTTTTAAGACTCAAAATCGCGGAGAAGACGTTCGTTCGATATTCAACGGACCTGAAAAGATCTTTTCTGAAAAGGAATTGCATGAATTCAAGAGTTCTTCCACATGTGAGAATGAAGAGACAGGAATGGAGTGTGAAAGAAAGGATGTTGACGAGATCTAATTCAATGAATAATGGCTGGAGGAGAATGGTTGCTTTTGAGGAAGAAGGTTCAACTCTCTCTTTCGAGTTCCAACTTCTTTGGAACCTTCACGATCTCTGTGAAGTTGCCTTCCTTCCTCACACCTTCATCATTGAAAAAACATTAGATTCTCACACACGTGGCACTCGAACGTTGAAAAGATCATCTACCTATCCTACTGCTTTGTTCGTTCCTTCACCAGTTATATTTCAACTCGCCACAAGAAACCCTCAATCCAGTCAAACGAATCCATCAAAGTCAATGCACGACGAGCATTGAAAAATACAACTACCAAAAAAAACACAACTCTCCTCTTGTGTTCATAAAACTTCTCATCATCATCATTGCAGCAAATTCTCACAACAATTGTTGTGGTTGTACAACGACCTCTCTCTCCGATCTGTCTTTTCCTAATTATCGGCTTTTTGATCAACCAAAAATTCAACTCCATTGTTATTACAATTAATTAATTGATTATTCACAATTTAAAAGATGGGTGGATCCTCCTCTAAACACAACGGCAACAATAACAATACTACCACGAATAGTGGTAGTAAAAACAACAACAACAACACCACTACTACCACAACCTACAATACAAATTCATCATCATCATCGGTAAACAACAAAACAACCACAGCTGCTACCACATCAACAACAGTGAACAGTGGAGATGAGATGGAGAAATTATATGCGCAATATGCTGCTTTAGATCCAAAAGATGCAAGTAATGAAGACGACGTTGATTATATCGGAACAGAAGGCATTCTCAAGATGGCTGAAGATATTGGCATTAATCCGGAACAACGAATTCTGTTGATTATTTTGTACAAGATAGGAGCAACCGAACAATATAAAATCAAGCATAAAGAATTCGTTGAAGGATTCAAACGAAATGGTTGTTATTCGATGAAGGACATTAAGAGCAAAGCACCAACCTGGGAACAACCAATCTTGAATAACAACGCGGAATTTAAAAAGTTTTATATGTGGTGCTACCAATATTCAAAGGAACCAGGAGCAAAGAGTATGTCAGCAGAGATGGCGTCTGCAACATGGCGTTTAATTCTTGGTGACAGATACAAAAAGATTAACGAATGGTGTGATTATGTTGAGAACACGTACAAGAAAGCAATCCAAAAAGATTCTTGGGATTTATTTATTGACTTTGTTCATAATGTTGGTGATGATCTAACGAAATATGATGCTAGTGATGCATGGCCAGTGATTGTTGACGATTATTGCACAATGCTATTGCAAAAGAAGAACGAACAATAGAGATCGGTGTCATGAGATGGCTAATCGTGATGTACATATACTCGTAATATATTCACAAACATTTGAAATATTGTAAATACGACAAATAATTATTTTATATGATCATGACATCATGAAAGGAATTACACCATCACTGATGACCTATTCAGTCAAATATTTCAGCTATTCCAAAATAGAATAGTTGGATGCGTGTCGTGTCAGGAGAACAATCTAAATGATCATCTGTGGTACATTATTCGCATCAAAACAACTTTCCTCTTTCATGAATCAGCAAACATACAATTTGTGAAATCGTGAGTGTTTGAGAAGTCACTTGGCTTGTTCGAAATTATTATTTCTCTGAAATCACCCTATTCATAGAGAAGCAAATCTCGAGCATAAATGAGAACACTATACTTTGTCAGGAATGGGCTTGAATGTATTTGATCTACATAGCCAGGTTCTGACAGGTCCAAGTCTTCCTTCTTACTCATGATCACCCTTAGCTCTTTTGTCAACCATGTGCTGACATTGACCATTGGTAAACGGAGTGGAGCATCCACATCTTCACTTCTTTTGGCAGTCTTTGTAATCTGTTCTTCCATACGTCCATATAAAACAGCGAATGCACTATTGCATGTCTCTCTGAAAACATTAAAATATTCTGGTGATTCAATAAGATCCGACAACTCGTACAATAGCTTCAGAACTTTGTCATTTTCTTCTTTCGTGGACTTGTTCAGGGCTGAAGAATAGTTATTGTTTTTGTTGTCTCCAGCATTAGTGTCTGATTGTTCAGCTTCAGGAATTTGGGAAAGATCGGGTAGCAACAATTCTGCAATTTTTGGGCTTGCATTGTTTGTTGTGGAGGATGGAGGAAAGTCCAATTTCTGTTCGACATTCTTCCTAATATTTTCGACTAATTCCTTAAAGTCATTAATGGCGAAAAGATGTTTGAGTGACAAGTCTGAAATATGTGCCTTAACAACAGACTCAACCAATGACATCAATGTTGGAAATCCAACGTTTTGAAAATGAGCAGCATAGCCCAAGAATCGATGTTGTGTTCTTCTGTCAGAGGAGAGTGACAAGTGATTCTTTAGTCTTTCATCTTCAACTCCTTCTTCAATTTTCTTGTTCTTGTAGGTGTGTTCCATGTACAAGTGTCTTCCGATCATGGATATTTGTATTGACAAGATGGTGTCCATCATGCATAGAGCATAGATAGAAGAAATAACTCTTGTGAACGATTCAAGCTTGATTTTCTCCCAAAGCTTCTTTTTTCGTTCTGTTGATAAATTCTTTTGTGTCTTTAATTCTTCTACTAGTGATTGTGTTGGATAAGTTTTCTCAATTTCTTCCAACAGCTATTCCGGAATGACATAATTGATGAATAAATTTTCCGTTCCGTTCATTGAATATTTACACACATTTTCAAAATATTTAAATATGTAATCATCATTCCATTGAAAGGAACCATATCATCATCATATCCATCAGATTCAATTTTTTCAAGTGATCATTACAGTATACTCATCCACATTTACTCACCTGCGGTATCACAGATAACAAGGCAACTTTGGCAGTATTGTTATTCTCGGAAAATAAATATCTCATCTGTTGTTCTCTCTTTGCTTTCTCCTTCTCTTCATCCTTCTTCTTCCGATACCAATAATAGACAATTCCTCCACCCACACTCACCAAACCACCAATCACACCGGCCCATAACAATTTTCTCTTGTGTTTCTGATAGAAATTGGAGAGCATTTTTTTTTATCACTGTCCATGCGTTTATTTGTTCGAAAATTCAAACGTTATTCATGGCTGTGTGTGCAATTAGTACAGTTAAAGGTGGTTCATGTCATCAAAGTTAGTGTAATTATTGTTGTAAATTTCAATTATTGTTTATCATCAAGGTTAGTGTAAATTTCAAATATTGTTGTAAATTTCAATTATTATTCATGGTCGTGGGTATTTCATGTATAGTTTAAACTTGTTCAAATCAATGAAATTGGGATTAAAATCGTATTGTTGTTCAAATTCATTCCAGGTGAGTTTCAATTCTTCCATGAAAAAATGATTTCGTTTCATCCACATTTTAGTAATAAATCGATAAGCTTCCTTAGTAAATACTTTGTCCCATTTCTTACCCAATCCAACTTTAGCACCTGTTAGGCTATGGATATCTTGTTTAGTCTTGATGAGGTACAATAGTCGTTTGGAGAATTTCTTGTTATTCTTTGCATATATTGAGATATTATATAAATTCCTAAACATTTCTTTTCTTATATCACTATAGTATTTACATTCAAAAATAATGTGTTGCATTGTCTCTCTACTACAGCAAGGACATAGCAAGTTCGTCTTGGATATCTTGTTTAAATTTTCCAAAGTCTTCATCACGTTCACTCTAATTTTAAATATTAGATTTAAGGTTCTGAAACCGATTCCTATTGAGGGGTAAATGTTGGTGAACTTTCTGTTCTTGGGAGGAAGGTTCTTTGGCGTATATGTTCTTTTGTGGAGGCGTTGAAATAGAAGTTTGTACATTGTTTGTCCAGTGTTTTGAGTGTATAATACATTGTTGATAATAATATACCAATTATTGGATGGAATATTAGTAAGAATATTGTTACAATCAGCACCTTTCTTAGCAGCCCTATCTGCTAATTCATTTATGCGGCTATAGATATCTTGTTTACCTGTATGACTATTAACATGCATAATTTTGATCTGATCCTTCATTTTTAAATAATTACGAATTTCTTCAACATAAGGATCTCTAGATTTTCTGAATTGGAAAAGTTGGTCATAAATACTTTTCGCATCTATGACTATTGTTCTAGGAGTGTTGTTATCTAGCTAATCTAACAACTGTGTGGAGCGCTTGAACTTCACTGTTGTAGGAAGTTCCTTGTCCTAAGGTGTGACTTGAGATGGAAACATTCTGATCAGTTACGATACCGTATCCAGCAATATTATTGTTACACGATCCGTCAGTACCAATTAGTGTAGCTTTGTTCAAGAGGTTTGACATGGATGTGTTGTTACCAACATATTTGTAGTATTTGCTTTCGTCTTTTGATTTTTCCAAAATCCATGCTATTGAGAATGTTGCGAATTTGGGTGACATGATTGGAATGTTTGATGTCATTATGTAATTTCACTTGTAAATTTTTAGGGTCAGGAACCCACATACTTAATCTGTTCCAATCTTTATAGAGCAGGAATTGTCTTAAACCTTTAGGGAATTTTCCATAAGGGATGAGAGTTTTTTCATGCCATTGGTCACTCGAATGCCACAATCTAATATTGGAAGATTTGTTCATGAAAATTATTCTCTTGAGATATTGAGGAATCCATGGGTCTGGTTTATACCAAGTAGGGATTGGATCATTGAGGATGTCAAAACAATGCTCCTGTTTGATTCGTTCACAAAGGAATCTTGTAGAAGATCCAAGACAAATATCATATTGTTCAAGGAACTTTCTGACTTTACACATTAGGTCCGAGTAACTCATTTCTTGAACAGAAATTAATCCAAATCCACCTTTGTCTTGATGAGTATAAAACCACTCGAGAGCTAATTTTCTCTTGGTTCTTAATCTTTCACATATAAAGTTGCGAAAGAATTTATCAATTTGTTTCTCTAGATGGTCATTAGCAAGAGGAATTAGGTGGTACAGTGCATACGGAACAATGTCTGTGTTGATAATTTTGACAATGTTCTGTATTGGAAAATTCCAGCCAATAGAGATAGTTCTTCTTTTAACTTCTTCAATAATTGAAGTAGTGTATTTCTTTTGTTCCTCAGTATTATTGGTAATATTATTACCAAGTATAATAATAGAATCATTACTTTTGATCGTACTTCCAGATAATGTCTTGATACTACATTCCTTATCAGAGAAGAGGTTAGTTTTGGAATGATCTAATTCCATGTGATAGCCATGAAGATAGGTTTCAATGTCATGCAAAGAATTTTCAATTTCAGGTTCGTTGGAAAATGAGTTCAAATCATCAATCCATGCGCCTGTACTAATGTTCCAATAATTTGCAACACTAGCACCATTATATGTTATTTCTAAAAATTGTAAGAGAGGCTCAAGCGCAATTTTGAATGCAAGGGGAGAGAAGGTGTCTCCTTGTTTCAATCCATCTTTCACATTGAAACATTCAGATTTACCATTAGGTATAACAAACTTTGTC